CGCTTGGCTCTTGACATACTCTAATGTCTCTGTCGTGCTTTTGTTGTACCTGACCTGACCCGAGTATAGCAGAACACATCCGATTCTGCGATAAAGAACAACTCAAATGCTATAGTCTAATGTTGCTACATAAAAACCTTCAACGAAGAAACAAAACTTGTTAAATGTGTTTTCTTATCTTACTCACATTGCAATAAGAGTGAAGAAGAGGAGGAAGATGAGGGAGACAACATAAGCAACTTTTGAGTATCCAATAGATTTGCTTCTATGGCATATGTGACAGACACATATAACCAATAAACAGATGCCAAACCCCAAAAACCAGACAGCAGCAACAACAAAGAGAGGAACAGCTGTATAGCTCACAGACTGCAATTTCAGACAAAAGCATGTAGTAAAAGGTGAACATAGATTATAAAAGGAAGAAGTAAATTGAAATGAGGAGATCTTACAGCCCAGTAATGGTGGTTGCTGATGTTCCATCCTCCAGTATATCTCTGGAAACCATTGAGAGGATCTTTTCTGAATGTTCTCTGAGCAGCCAAAGCCACTGAAGCATCTTCAACTACTTGAGGGTTGTTGTAATTAGGTCCGTACACTGGCGTCTCTGCCACTATAAATTTCATTGTAGGATTTCTTTCCAACCATGTTTTCTCAGAAGCTGTGAAAGGATAACAATCAAATTGACATTTAGGAAAAATAAATTGTAACAAAGGTTGAAACTTTATTCTGCAGAGAAAAAATTTGAAATTGCCTAGTTGAGTTTAATTTTTTCAGATTATAGACAAACCCCATTGTGAAATCAGTTCCAAATGTTTGAAGGATATGGCAAAGTTTTGATTTTTTTGGAGCATATTCATGGAATAACACTAACAGAAAAAGGTAGAAGAAGAGAAAATCGAAAACTTTAACTATTCCTCTTTACTCTTTACTTTCCCGGAAAAGAGAAGGTTTTCTCGAGAAAGAAAGTTAAGAGAGAAACAGAAACCTGTGGGAGGCTGGGAAGGAGGAATGTGAATAGTGGGAGCTCCATGAGCAAGAGAAAGAGCGGTAAAGAAGCAGCACGAGAGAAGAAGAGCCATCACTCACTACTGTGACGCAACCTAGTGAGAGAGTCACAGTGGTTTAGCAGAGCAGCGAGAGAGAGAGACAAAGACAATAAACGCAAAATTAGCTTTCTCGAATTTTTATGACCCCACACAAGACTTTTTTCAGCTTTTCTGTAATGAGTTTATACTTGCACATATCCAGGTTTTTCAGAAAATATTGGACAATGGAATCTAAGATAAGATTTTGGGCTATACAATAATTTAGTTTTACCGCGTGTTAATTATTGTCTTAATATTAGCAAAATAATGTTCTAAGAATATTCTCTATATTTTTGATATTTATATACTTGGAAAAACTTTGAAAGGAAATATAAGTTTTTCACCAAAAAGGCAAAAAACATAAGTTTATAGTTAGTTATGCAATGGAAAAGATACAAGAAAGACAATCAGAAATTAAAAAGGAAAAAAAATTAATGTTTTTTCTTGTCAACAAAAACAAATGTGTTTTACCTTTTAGCTTTCTGACACATAATCTATTTTTTTTTTAATATTGTAAAAAAATGGAGGTATTTTACAACATTCTAATATAAAACTTTGTATATTGTGTGTATCAAAAAATCCATAATTTTTTATGTATCTATGTTATCTAACTCAATTAAAGTAAATTTGTGAAAAACATTTATAACAATGAAAGTAGTAGTTACTCCCTCCGTTCCATGAAGATTGATGTTTTGACTTTTACATACAAATTAAGAAACAATTAGTTGTAAATTATTAATTCATTACTTTTTAATCTTAACTATTTTTCAATACATATTAACCAATAGTAATTCAGAATTTAAATACTTTTAATTAATGCTTTTTGAAATTTGCAGAAATATCATTTAATAATCTAAAATATCAATTTTTATAGAACAAAAAAAAAATTCAAAACATCAATCTTCATGGAACGAAAGGAGTATTATTTAGGATATCCATTTATATTGCTATTTATATTATAGAAAGAATTTCCAAGTCAAACTTTATATTTCGTGGAAATTTCTTGATCGATCAATGATTTAAAAGATTCTACTTCAAGTTTGAGGTTTGATTCCAAATAATGTAGTTTTTAGAGATTACTAAATACAAAGCTAATTGGAAGTTCAAGAAGGTTGCAAGTAGAGTTGTTTGTTGTAGTCTCAAATATTATGGAAAAAAATTGTCCATAATAGATATGATGATGCAGGATAAACCGTATATCGTGTGTATATGTATGTTGCTAGGAGAATTGCATCATAGAGCCGTTGTTCGTAGAACTGTTCATTATAGTCGCATGTGGTGTACTGTAAACACGGCACTACCCACAAGTCACAAAACTAGAATAAATAACGTTTAAGCTGGCTTCTTGGCAAAAAGAAACCATTTAGTGGGGAAAAAATTAGAAGCATATATTGAATAAC